AACCTCACATTGTAAATCAACTACACTTCAATTAAGAAAAACAATTTTGAATCAATTCATGTTGGGATGATGCCCAGCTATTTTTAGACATTTCCCAGGTGATTTTGATAATTAGACACTGTTTTGATCCTCCCCTTCGTTTCCCAGTTGAAGACTCTGGGGACCAGAGAGATAGCTGCCTCAGCCAAGGCCACTGGCATTGTTGGAGCCCTTGAGGACCAGGATCCCTTCTCTTGGCTCCTCGCTGCGGTGCTGTGTGTTTTCCCACACGGCCACACCCCTGCTTGCCAGGGTCTGCTGGGACTGAGAAAGGCCATCCTCCGTAGGCTGGTCTTGCCACCCAGGCTAGACATTGTGAGGGAGGAGGCTTGGGCCGCTGCTACACACCTTCCCCAAGGTGGGTCTCTTCTCTGGCAGTGGACATGACAGGAGCCACTTCTTATTGACAGGTTCCAGCTGGGTCCCCAGGGACAGGCTGCTTTGGCTCCCTTCTGCTTCAGAGGCTCACACTCTGGGCTTGAGAAATGCAGCCAAAGAAGACTTTTCATCAATGACAGGACCCTATAAAGGGTCATGGGAGGGACAGGTAATTCTGGGAAAGTGTGCTTGTATTTAGGGGCGGTAAGAGACATAGACTGGTTCCAAATAGGAAAAGGAGTACATCAAGGCTGTATATTGTCACCCTGCTTATTTAACTTATATACAGAGTACATCATGAGAAACGTTGGGCTGGAAGAAGCACAAGCTGGAATCAAGATTGCCGGGAGAAATATCAATAACCTCAGATATGCAGATGACACCACCCTTATGGCAGAAAGTGAAGAGGAACTGAAAAGCCTCTTGATGAAAGTGAAAGAGGAGAGTGAAAAAGTTGGCTTAAAGCTCAACATTCAGAAAAATAAGATCATGGCATCTGGTCCAATCACTTCATGGGAAATAGATTAGGAAACAGTGGAAACAGTTGCTGACTTTATTTTTTTGGGCTCCAAAATCACTGCAGATGGTGATTGCAGTCATGATATTAAAAGACGCTTACTCCTTGGAAGGAAAGATATGACCAATCTAGACAGCATATTAAAAAGCAGAGACATTACTTTGCCAACAAAGGTCTGTTTAGTCAAGGCTGCAGTTTTTCCAGTGGTCATGTATGAATGTGAGAGTTGGACTGTGAAGAAAGCTGAGTGCCGAAGAATTGATGCTTTTGAATTGTGGTGTTGGAAAAGACTCTTGAGAGTCCCTTGGACTGCAAGGAGATCCAACCAGTCCATCCTAAAGGAGATCAGTCCTGGGTGTTCACTGGAAGGACTGATGCTGAAGCTGAAACTCTAATACTTTGGTCACCTCATGTGAAGAGTTGACTCACTGGAAAATACCCTGATGCTGGGAGGGATTGGGGGCAGGTGGAGAAGGGGATGACAGAGGATGAGATGGCTGGATGGCATCACCGCCTCGGTGGATATGAGTTTCAGTAAACTCCGGGAGTTGGTGATGGACAGGGAAGCCTGGTGTGCTGTGATTCATGGGGTCACAAAGAGTCGGACATGACTGACTTCATTTTCATATATATATATATATATAAAAATATAAATTCAAGTGACTTAGCATGCACGCACCCAATGATTAGACACCATAATAGGCGTTAGAGTGTGCTGTGACTCAGACACAACCCCACCTCCATGGAACTTTCTGGAACTCCATGGAACGTTCTGGAAGTCAATGTACAAGAGCCATATTACTTAATTTCTTGAACGAATCCCTTATTGTCATTAACCAGAAGGGTAGGAATAGGCATTTAATTTTCTCAGCCATTCTCTAGAAAGAGGAAGCTGAGGCTTAGCGAGGTTAACTGTCTTGTCCAGGGTCACACCCGTAAGTGATAAGATCAGTTCTGCCTGAAAGCAGAGCTTGCCTGCTGGGCCACCTGGTTGTACCACCTCCTGCCTCAGGCTCCTGGTTTTTATCAGAGCAGTGATCAGAAAAGGCCACGGGAAGTACAAAGCTTCATTTGCTGTAGAACTTGAGAAATTTCAAATATCCTTTAGAATTGAATGCTAGAGAACCTCTGCTGTCCCTGAAACACCATTTCTTCCTCCTCCAAGGACGGCACTTGGCATTTTGTGTACATTATTGGCTCCCGCCAGCAGTGCACTTTAGAGCAAGGCCTGGGTTTTGAGTCAGCTACCGCCCTGGTTGGCACACTCTCCCACTTCTTCCTTTTGTCGTCTTTGTTCATAGTGTCTCCTCCATTATTGCGTGTGCCTGCGTGAGCTCAGTCTTGTCTGACTCTTTGCGACCCCGTGGACTGTAGCCCATCAGGCTCCTCTGTCCATGGGATTTCTCAGGCAAGAATACTGGAGTGGGTTGCCATTTCCTTCTTCAGGGGATCTTTCCAACTCAGGGATCAAACTTGGGTCTCCTGCATTGGCAGGCAGATTCTTTACCAACTGCGCACCTGAGAAGCCTTTTGAAATGAGTTGAAATAAAAACTCAGGTAAAAAGATACAGGGACGCTGAACCCATCCATTTTACCCTGGGAATGTGGGGCCCAAGTGTCTGGTAGCTTCTTCTGATTAGTTCAGGGGCATTTTCACTTGTCTGTGGTAGAAAAAAAGGCGAGGGAACTAGTATTATTAAAGCTAAATTTAACTTAAAGACCAATTTGGTAATCAGAAGTAGTCTTGACTTTTTTTTTTTTTTTTTTTTAAGCATTAAAATTGTCTTGGGACTTTCCTAGCAGTCTAGTGGTTACAACTTTGAACTTCCACTGGAGGGGGCAAGGGTTCAATCCCTGGTCGGGGAACTAAGATCCCTCAGGCCATGCAGCACAGCCAGAAAAAAAGAGTTCTGTCTTTTAGGAAATTATTATAAAGCAGGGCAGTGGTTGCTTTATAAGCCTGTTGCTTATATTGCTATTATGTTTATATCCTTTCTTGGCAAAATGAAAATTTGCCTACGGTGTGCCCATTTTCTTTGTGGTTTTACTAGCTGTCAAAATCCTATGTCTGAAAATGACCACCAGTTTGGTTTTCACATTGTTTCTCTGAGCCCCAGGGTTCCTGGTAGGGGGGATTTCGGCTTTGGGGAGTGAGAACATTTTGTCTCATTTACAATCAGAGAGGCTCTTCTGTTTTATATATTAGTTTCTGTATGATTTTTCTCTGGAGGCTGAAGGGTATTCCTATCAAAGTTTGGAGATGCTTTAGTCTGGGCTGTTCGTGTGTTTGGGGAGAGAAGTCTGCTTTTGCAGGACTGAGCCAGTGATCTTTGTTCATAAATATTTCTTACCTGTTGTACTGGTCAGGGCTTTTCAGAGAAACAGAGCCAGTAGGTTATATGTGTGTGTGTGTGCATGTGTGTGTGAGAGAGAGTTGGTTCTCATGATTGTGGAGACTGGCAAGTACAAAATCGGTGGGACAGGCCAGCTGGGGACTCAGGGATGTGTTGATGTTATAACCAAAGATTAGAACCAGAATTCTTCCTTCCTGGGGGACATCAGGGTTTGGTCTTTTTATCCTCTTCAGGCCTTCACCTGATTGAGTGAGGGCCACCCATGCGATGGCAGTAATCTGCTTTACGCTGACTTCAAATGTTAATCTCATCTATAAAGTGATGTTAATCTCATCTATAAAATGTTGCTTCACAGCAGCATGTTTGACTGGAGTTGGAGCCAGCCTGCATACTATGACCTTGTCAGGTTGTTGACATATAAGATTAACCATCACTCCTACTCAAGTGCCTGGGAGGTGTGATGGGGAAGACAGAGATGGGAAAGGCTGGTGTCAGCCTCCAGGAGGCAAGACTATACTTAGGAAAAAATTAACACATTATTGATCAGTGTGATGTGAGAGAGAGAGGGTTCACATGATTGTGGAGACTGGCAAGTACAAAATCAGTGGGACAGGCCAGCTGGGGACTCAGGAGTGAGTTGATGTTATAACATGTATTAACTCCACAGGCATGAGTTTTTGCAAAAATCCTCCAGTCTTCAGTGTGTTAAGAACATGACCATATATTTCAGTGCTAACTTGTAATGATGAAATGTAAAAAGTATTTAGAGGAGATGAGGGGGCGAGGGATGGAGGATTCCAAGGAGATTTATGGTTGAGGCTGAACAGAAACTTTAACAGCACAGAGAACTCAGATAAGTGAGGACACAGGAGTCTCAAGAACCAAGTGGGAACTCTTGGATAATAACACTTCTATTTGACTTGGTCTCTGAGTTTATTGCCACCTTCCCTGGTGGCTCAGATGGTAAAGCATCTCTCCACAATGCAGGGGACCAGGGTTCAATCCCTGAATCAGGAAGATCCCCTGGAGAAGGAAATGGCTACCCACTCCAGTATGCTTCTCTGGGAAATCCCATGGAGAGAGGAGCCTGGCGGGCTACAGTCCATGGAGTTGCAAAGAGCTGGACATGGCCAAGCGACTAACAGCGCTGAGTTTCTTACGAGTTTTCAGACCGATCGTTTCATTTGGTGCTTGCAGCAACCTTGTTTTTTTTCATTGAGGCTCCCAAGGCCCAGAGAGGTTAAGGGATTCACCAGAAGTCACACAGCTTGCATGCAGGAGGGCATGGCAGCCCACTGCAGTATTCTTGCCTGGAGAATCCCGTGGACAGAGGAGCCTGGTGGGCTACAGTCCATGGGGTCTCTAAGAGTCAGACACAATTGAAGTAACTTGGCATGCATGCGCTCACACAGCTTGCCCGTGTCTGGGCACCTCTTTCTACTCCAAATCCTTCCCCTCATCTTTCACTCGCTTTGCTGGGTATAATGAAATCCATGTGAGTGTGTGTATGTGGGTTTGTGTGAGTGCATGTGTATGTGTATGTAGGGGTAGAGGATTACTCCAGGAATGAGAAGAATAAAAGTTATCTTCACTCAAAAATCCTGTGAAACTATAAAAAAAAAACCTGTTTTTCTCTCCCTCTCTCCCTAGATCTTCCTTTCCTTGCTGACCAGCTTCGTTAATCCTTCTTTTCTTTTGTCGCCCTCCCCCAGACACGAATGCAGAGTCTGAATCCAGATCCCAAAGCCCATTACACAAGTGTCTACGGAGCCCTCAAGAAAATCATACGGACTGAAGGCTTCTGGAGACCCTTGCGAGGCCTCAACGTGATGATGATGGGCGCGGGGCCCGCCCACGCCATGTATTTTGCCTGCTACGAAAACATGAAAAGGACTTTAAATGCCGTTTTCCACCACCAGGGGAACAGCCACCTAGCCAACGGTATTTGCAAGCGTTTGTCTGGAGTTAGAAAGGTCTCTCCTTCAACAGACCATTCCCCAGGGTTCTCCTCCCTGTGACCCAGCTGCCTGACGCCTCATCTCCGCCACGCTTGCTTATGAACCAAGGACTTATGTGTGTGCACACACACCCAGACACACGCGCACACACCCACACAGACACACACACATGCACGCGCGCTTTTTTTTTTCTTTCCCCTCCTTCGCTTTCTGAAGCCTGGGGAGAATAAGTGACAGAGGTGTTTCATTCATTGTTGAGTGGGTTTTGCCTTTTTGCTTTTTTTTTTTTTTAACATTCAAAAGCAATTAATGATCAGATCTAGGGGAAAAAAAAACCCTGAATAGGAACAAAACTTTTGAATGCTGGATTCCAAAAAAAAAGTTATGTGGACAGCTTCTTCTTTGAGACTATTTAAAAACTGACCCAACAGGTCTCTACAGCGTCAAGATCTAACTAAGCTTTACAAGGTCAAGAAGTTTTATGGCTGACGAAGGATTTGCTCCTGCACAAAGGACCTTTCCCTCCTAAACTTCGGAGGATCTGGGAATTTCGCCCCAGTCTCTTCCGTTTGTTGCATCTCTCTGCAAGCAAGGGCTGAAATAGTTTTCTTTTGTTCTGAGGGAGCCAGGCGGGCGGTGGGGTGGAAGGGGGAGTGAGTTGGCAACAAGCAACTGTTACGTAGGCTTGGTTTACTGGGTTCAGCTCCTGTGGGTTTGGTTCTGGTTGGTTTCCGTTTGGGTCTGGAGCACAACTCTGGCTGGTGGCACCAGGAGTCTTTAACAAATTTATTTTTCAGCAACGGAGAGGTAGATGTAACTGGCAGAGCATCTTTTTTTAGCACCTTCTCCAAAGCATCCTTTCCATCAGCAAACCTTGGTGAAAATGACTCCATCTGGCTGGTTTGCAGACATTTATTTTGCTTTTTAAAAATTGTCCCCTACTTCCATTTGTCCAAACGGTCACCAAGATCTGCAGTTTTGATATCTCCAAGTTCATGGTCTCAGGGCCTCGCTTTTGCTAAAACTGCCTCTTTAACTCCTTGGCACTGGACCACGTGGAGGCGAGTTTGTGTTTATGTCAAGGTCTGCCCAGTGCAGTTACCGCCTCACTGTGGTGTGCTCTGGTTGCATCCTGATATTTCTGCAGATGATCCTACGTGTGTGTGGAGGAGGGAGGGGGTTTCATAAGCATTTCTGAAGCTTTAGCCTGTGTCCTTCATTTCTCCCACTTTCCAGCGGTTGTCTTGATTATTGGGCAGTGTGACCTACAGAGAGAGGAAACCCAGAGTCAAAAGCAAAATTCCAGGCCGGAATCTGGTTTTTGAAGCCAGGCCAGAGGAGACCTGGGCTTGGCCGTCCCTGAGACATGCCATCGCTTTGCAAACTAACCCGGGTAATCTGCCATCGGCAGGTCTTCTGAGCCCTTTCCCCTTGGCCATTTGCTTTAAAAAAAAAAAGCCTGGATTTTATTAAGGAATTTTCTTCAAGCTGTCTCTCCGCCCCCGCCCCTTCCTGTGTGTATGTCGTTGTTGTTTAATTGGTAAATCATGTCCCACTCTGTGCCCCATGGACTGTAGCTCACCAGTCTCCTCTTTCCATGGGATTCTCCAGGCAAGAATACTGGAGTGGGTTGCTCTTTCCTCCTATAGGGGATAGTCCCGACCCAGGGATTGAACTGGCATCTCCTGCATTGCAGGTGGATTCTTGACCACTGAGCCACCTGGGAAGCCCCTCTGATTGTATTCATGATATCGCCTTCGATTGCCCCAATTTAAGGGCAGAGTGAGTTAATCTATAGACAAAGGCCAGGGATGAGAAAGAATTAAAATTTCAGCAGTGGAAAAAGCCTTCAAAGTGTGGTAACATCCTGTGTTGGCAGGTCTAGCCTTTTCCTAGGGAAAATGAATTTCTGCCGAATTGAAGTGTGAGTAACGGTGTCTGTGTTACCTTCCCCATGTTTATCCAGGATTTTCCATGATGGCTTTAGGGTTTCAGGAGTCGGTGCTCACCTGGGCGGACGGGTAGTGAGTTTTGCTTCTTAGAAAGCCAGGTCCAGGGTTCTGTCTGACTTTAGGTTCCAGGAACTTCCTGAGAAGCCCCGGTCCCAGAGGGTAATTTTCTGGAGTTTGTTTTACAGGGATAGCTGGGAGCATGGCCACCCTGCTTCACGACGCAGTCATGAATCCAGCAGAAGGTAATGTTTCATGGTCCCAGGGAGAGGCAGCAGGGCCTGTGCAGAGGGGCAGGAGCAGAATTGGGGGGCGGGGCAGAAGCTTGGGCATGGGGACTCGGCCCCTAGTCGGAATACACAGGAGAATTCTTGACCATGTTCTCAAATGCCTCGAGAAGGGAGGTGAGCGTTTAAGCTCTGGGATTCCCGTTCACTTAAACAGAGCTTCTCAGGGTGGGATCCATGGACCAGTAGCAGCTGTGCCTCCTGGGAGCGTGTTAAAATGCTGATTCGCAGATCCCACTCCAGACCTACTAAGTCAGTAGAGCTGCTTAACAAGTTCTCCTGGCGGTTCTTTTGTATGCTGTTGCACTACTCTGAAACCTGTGTGTGCTCACACACACACACAAACACACAGCCCCACTGGCCCTTGTTCACTGTTACCAACCATAGACAGATTTAGAAGAAACTTGTCAGAGGTCATCCATTAGGGGTTATGTTCAATTTGCTTTTTTAAAAGACATTTCACATTATTACGGAAAACTTCCAACAGGCAGATGTAGGGAGAAGAATATGGTGAACCCCTCCCCCCAACCATGTATGCATCATTCTACTTCATAAATTAACATTTGGCCACTTCATTGTAGCTGTCTCCTCTTATGTTACCTTTTTTCCCCCCTTTGAATTTTGGGAGCATCATAAAACAATTCTTAGCTGTGTAGATGAGTTCTATTGGTTTTTTCTATAGCCTCACATCCTTAGCCTTCTCGGGTCTGAGTAGGGAGGGGTTTCGGGACCTAGTGCCGAGCATAGTTTCAGCTGGGTTAGTCTCTCTGTAAGATGTGGGCCTCTCTCCTGCTTCCTTCCTCATCTGAAAATGGTCCCTTGCCAGAAGGGAGAATCAGAGGTTAAAAAGTGCAACATCCTAAGTCTTATAAGTTTGGTTTGTCTTTTAAGGTTACAATTTACCTGCTCTCAGCTGCCTCCCCTGCCCCATCAGACAGGAAACATGTTCTGACCTTCCAGGACGTGAGGGGTCAGATGGGGAGGCGGGCTGCTGCTTCTGTGGGTTTAAGGTGATTCAGAGTCAATGAGCAGTTAGTTAGCCCATGCCAACTGGGCAAGAGTTTTATTTCAATTTTGTTTTTCAGGAGATTAAAAAAAAAAATGAAGTTCAACTCTCCCCTTTTCTCCTTGATATTATATCTATTTAAGGACTTTATTCCTTTAGAATTAAAGCACACTGTATGTGTTTATCTTTCAGTGCTTGGAGACGATTAAAATTTTAAGCCTAAGGGACCGCAGTATTTGTCCTTTGACCCACCAGTTACTTTTGTATTAAAAGCCTGAGTTCTCATTGGAGTTTGTCATCGAACTTGGGCTGACATCATTCGAGTGTCTCTTCCAAGAGCACTGAACCCCAGGAGCTAAAAATGCTGCCAGCGGGGTAGAGACCGCTGAGAATAAAAGACGGGCCAGGTGTCCAGTAGACACAGCGGGACAGAGGAGGGCAGGGGAGCCAGGAAGCATGATTGAGATCCCCGGCGTGTGTGATGCCCAAGGCATCCAGGACCCGGGGGATCAGCTCGGGGAATCTGAAGTGGCTGCCTGGTGTGGGGGCCACCTGAAGCAACAGTCAGGCAGGAGAAACATCAAGAAAGAGCCAGCTTCTGGCTCCTGGCACTGGGTCCCGGAGGCATGTGTTGAAACCGGGATGGCCCGGAGCTGGCCCCCTGGCGGTTTCTCGGGCTGGGGCTGGGTGTGTGTGCTAGCTGTCCGTGCCCTGTTACCCGTGTCTAAACTTGCTTGTTTCTCTTTATGGCTTGGCTTCCCATCTCACTCCGACCCGGGGTGGGGCCAAACCCAACCCCCCGCGGCCCGACCACAGTCGTGAAGCAACGCATGCAGATGTACAACTCGCCACACCGGTCGGCCCTCAGCTGCATCCGGACAGTGTGGGGGACGGAGGGCTTGGGGGCCTTCTACCGGAGTTACACCACGCAGCTGACCATGAACATTCCCTTCCAGTCCATCCACTTCATCACCTACGAGTTCCTACAGGAGCAGATCAACCCCTACCGGGGCTACAACCCGCAGTCACACATCATCTCAGGCGGGCTGGCCGGCGCCCTGGCTGCCGCCGCCACCACCCCCCTGGACGTCTGTAAGACCCTCCTCAACACTCAGGAGAACATGGCCCTCAACCTGGCCAACATCAGCGGCCGGCTGTCGGGCATGGCCAACGCCTTCCGGACGGTGTACCAGCTCAACGGCCTGCCCGGGTACTTCAAAGGCGTGCAGGCCCGCGTCATCTACCAGATGCCGTCCACTGCCATCTCCTGGTCCGTCTATGAGTTCTTCAAGTACTTCCTCACCAAGCACAAGCTGGAGAATCGAACTCCCTACTAAAGGAGCGGGCTGCGGGAAGCAACGCCGGCGTCTTCGATTGTGCAAAGGCTTTCTCCCTGCCTGCGCCCGCTCCCCTGCCCTCACACCAAGATTACGGGGCACAGGGTTGGCAGGAGGGGCCTTCCGCGCGCCCTGACCCCTTCTTAGAAGGAGGAGAGGACAGGACAGCCGTTTACCCGATCGCCATCCGCCGGGACATACCAGGTGATAGCAGGTGGGGGCAAGGCCAGCGGGGCAGCGAGAAATCACTGTTTCTCGTCCTCCCCCCAGAGTGATGTAGCTTTTCCTGCAGTGTAGCACCTCCTCCCCTAGAATCGTCCATAGATCACACAGGAGGGAAGAACGTGTGCAGTGACTGAAAACATTAAAGAGGAGAAAAAAAGTTTTGTATATAAAAGTTCCAGTACACAGTATAAAATAGATGGATAATGTTTATCCTTTATTTTTCTATGTAGAAGTTTTTGAATTTGAGTGTGTGCCTGTGCGTGTGTACAAGCAAGTGTTACAGCTGAGAATATAAAGCTGTTTAAAAATAAAAATACTAAGAGGGCTGAATTTTTCCATTAGGTTAAGTCAAAGGGCACCAAAGTAGTGCATTGCTCCATGTGGCCTAAAATTGTGTTGAGCTCCCCATGGAAGTTCCACATGAATGTAAAATAATAAGTATAAGGTTTATATTTTGAATTTCTCTTTTCATAGGGGAAAAAGGTACGTTGAAAAAAAATAATATTTTTAGCTACTTTTTTTTAATCCTTATTCAATCAGTCACCGTCCTGTGCCTTTTCCCTTTGTCTTTTGCTGGAAATTCCAGGACCAAAGATCTGACCCTGGGGCTTTTCATCTCGCTGTGAGCTCACCCCCCGCCACACACACACAGACTGGGCGGCAGGCATGGCTCACGCTGGAGCACAGTGGCCCCTGGTGGAATTTGGGTGGCTGGTCTTCCTGAAACCGTTCCCTTCCTGTGTGGGTGAGGTGAAGGTACGCCTCTCAGGGCGAGCACTTAGAAGCCCTTGAAATACCAGTGCTTGGCTGCTTGTTGGGCAGGCAAATAGGATCAGTCCTACCTTGATCCTTGGACTTCATTCTCCATCCACCTTTTAACACAGGCACTTCAGGCATCCTTGTCTGTGTGTGTGTTGGACTCAGTCCTGATCTCTGCTTCCCTGTGCAGTTTTAGGGATTTTAAGAAACACAGGCAGTGTATCTACAGCATTTATCTGTTTCCCCTGCCCATCAGGAATGTCTCCCTTAAAGAGCCTCTCACCGCCCAGGTCCCCCTAGCAGCTGCTGAAAGGACCTGGGCCCTTGTGCATGGTCAGGATGCCTCTTGAACCATCTTCAACCTCGTGTGGTACACGCTGCCTGGAGACATGCCGCCTTGTTTTCTGCAGTGGCACATCTGAGCCAGGTTATCCCTGGAGCAAATACAAGCCTGTTTCCTTCAGCCACGCCCTCCCAGGCCTCTCTCTGAGACCCAGCGGCTTCACAGTTTTCTTTTAAAATGCATAGGAAGCAACTGTGTTTTCATTCTGACCCAGCCTGGTCCTGACCTTGACCTTGGCCCTTCGCCTTAGGCAGGGTCCACATTGTGCATCGTCACTGGGCTCAGACCCGGGCTCCTCGAGGTGCTGTCATTCTCAGGAAGAACGCGGGTGGTCCCGGGACATTAGCATCTTGAGACCTTGCACACACTGCCTCCCAGAATAGTGTGCAGGTTACGGACAGCAGAGACCCATGTCAGACGGCTCCCACACATGCCCGATGAACAGGGTCTTCTCCTGGGCTGGGAGGTTTGGCTGCTGACCTGTCCCCTCTCAGAGGTAGCCCCCACCCCCATCTCCCCAGTGGAAGTCTGTTGCAACAAGCTTCCATCCCACTCAGGAATGCAGAATGCCCATGGAGATCAAGCTTCTGGGGGAAGTGTTTACGTCTCTCTAAACATACCCCTAAACATACCCTCTGTTAGTGTTAACGTTTGGCAAATGGAAGAAAGACCAGGTCGAATTCTGAAATAGTTACCCAGCCTCCCCTCCTTGTCCACTTCAGATACACCACCGTGCTGCAGAATATTCCTTATTTCTTAAGGATGAGTGTGCCTGTTGAATACAAATGTACTGCTGCTGCTTAACCTGCGAGATGCATGGTGTATGTTACCGTGGTAGGCCAGTGTCGTTTCTTAAATTGCCCGTTGTAAATATCATGGTTTCTGCCTCTCAAATCATCGCCAACTCTTGGAAGAAGGGGAGAAACGTGTGTTTCTGTGTGGGGATGTTTCTGATGTGCTGCTACAGTCGAGACACTGGAGCTGTGGAAAATAAAGCCTTGATCTTTGAAGTGTCGTGGGTTCTGTGGTAGGGATGTGGATGGACATGAGAGGGAAGCGGATGGAGAAAGGGAGCCCAACTCATGGGGCTTCTGCTTCCTGCAGTCTCCTGCATTCAGGACCAGGATCTACGGCTTAGATGGAGAGTACCCTTCAGCCCACTTAGCAAAACTGAAGCAGGTGGCCGCCTTGGCCAGCCCAGGGGTGGTCACGTGAGAGGCCCGGGGCATGGCTGGGAACCTCCTTGGGTTTTGCTCAGCTCTGCTGGGGAGGGTGGCAGATCTCTCTCTGTGGGACCTTGAGGGTGAGAGGCTGGTGGTAACTGCGATGCCCAGCCCTCCTGGCTGGTACGTTCATGCCTGTCTTCTCTGGCTCTCTCTCTTCCTTCTTCCCTTTGGGCATGTGCTAAGTCGCTTCAGTCGTGTCTGACTCTTTGCGACTCCATGCACTGTAGCCCGCCAGGAGCCTCTGTCCATGGGATTCTCCAGGCAATAATGCTGGAGCGGATTGCCATGCCCTTCTCTAGCGGATCCTCCCAACACAGGGATTGAACCTGCGTCTCTTTCGTCTCCTGCATTGCAGGCAGATTCTTTACCAACTGTGCCACCCCTGGGGCTTCTGATTCCTTTTCTAAATCCCACCTCCACCAGGTTCAGCTGCTTTCCCTCTGAGTGCCATCCTAACGTTCCTGACAATATTCCAATAGCCAGTAAGGCAGTAATTGGGCAAGTACTCAAAAATGCCCATCCCAGGCTTGTTCATGAAAGTCAAATCTGGAAGCACACTGGATATCAATCAAGAAGTTAAATGACTGGGGACTTCCCTGACGGTTCCCTGATGCTTAAGACTTCGCCCTCCAATGTAGGGACTGCAGGTTTGATTCCTGGTTGGTGAGCTAAGATCCCACATGTCTCATGGCCAAAAAACCAAAAGGTAAAGCAGAAGCAATCTTGTAAAAAATTCAATAAACTTTTAAGAAAGGGAGTTAAATGATTTATAGAGCACCTGAGCTCTCCTGGTATTCTAGTGGGAAGGAAGGAAGTTTCGCCAGGGATCTCAGATCAGATACATTGTTTAAAAACTTGGACTTTCCAATACATTAATAAAATTTGAGAATACTTCCAAGCTTAGTCATTTCTGTAGTGAAAGTGTTAGACACTCAGTCATATCCAAGTCTTTGCGACCACATGAACCTTAGAGCCCACCAGGCTCTGTCCATGGAATCCTCCAGGCAAGAATACCAGAGTGAGTTGCCATTCCCTTCTCCAGGATCCTTCCAATCCAAAGATCAAACCGGGGTCTCCTGCATTGCAGGTAGATTCATTACTCTCTGAGGCACCAGGGAAGCTCAGTTGTTTTTCTAGCCTTACCTCCTAAAATAACATTACTTTGGGGACATGTGAGCCCCCTTTTGTGAAGGGGTGGGTATGTGATGACTCATCCACGGTTTAGAATTCCATGGTTATCTGTTGACATGGCTTCTTTAAGAAGCTCTTTACTCGTGGTTTTGTTTACTGGTGGCAGCCGTAATCTTTCACTTTCCATAGCACGTGGGCCATCCGAGGAGAACTACTAGAGGATATAGGACACAAGTGCCACCTTAGGAAGGACAGTCCAGCCCATGTCCGCTGTCATCTGAAACTCCTATCTGAGGAGAAAAATTATAAATTTGAGATCATAGTGGAGATTTTGGGGTCTCCGTCCCAAGGCAGTTGAAGCTTGGGCCTCACCTTAAAGTTCTTGTAAATTTCTGTTGTTGTCAAGGATTCACTGCTGACAGCTCGTACGACAAAGCAGAACCATGAAGCTCAGGGCGATGGATTGTGAATGCTCGGTTCTTTGTCGTTGTCACCCTGACCCTTGGTGGCTCTCTTTAAGAGGAGTGCTCACTCGATCATGTCCGACTCTTTGTGACACCGTGGACTGTAGCCCACCAGGCTCCTCTGTCCATGGGATTTCCCCAGGCAAAACTACTGGAGTGGGTTGCCATTTCCTTCTGCAGGGGATCTTCCTGACCCAAGGACTGAACTGGAGTCTCCTGCATTGCAGGCAGACTCTTTACCACAGAGTCACCTGGAAAGCTCCTATACTACACTTAATATTAGCCAAAAGGTTTTGGGAGCCTTTGTTCTCGTCATTTGTGTGTGTGTGTGTCTGTGTGTGTGTGTGTGTAAGATTCTGGCTTCTGCTGAATATTGAGAATATTCTCTTGAAGGATGCTTCTGGCATGGGTTGACAGGTTACAGATGTATATCTCAACATTCAAGTTTTGAACTTTGAAATCAGGTGAGTGAAACCGGACAACAAATCCTCTCCCTTTGCCTGATTAAATCTGTATAAAGTTTGGAATAAAATAATGTACACATTTTAATAAAAGTAATTATGGATACCCATATGCCATTTTTTCCTGTAGGGCTGGGCTTCACAAGGTTTTAATGGATGTTGGTTTATAGTAACCACTTTCAGTAACAAGAGTCCATGACAACTGAAGTTACCTGGAACTCAAAGCAATGTCCAGATTTCAACTGCCTTGGGTCTAGGACTAAAAGAGCATCAGCAGTCTGGAAGCTGGTGACACTGAAGTGCTAGCAGCTTCTTTTGGTTCTTCCTGATTTTCTAACATCTCCAGTGGCCTTATCCATGGTTTAATTTGATAGCTAGGAAAAATCTAAAC